TCCCTTGTGGGTGGGAAAAGCTGCTGCTTCAACCAATTTAAAGGACTTTCTACAAGAATATTTTTACAGAGGCTATAAGGTAGAATATGGACATGGGCTGCCAGAGACACTGGGGGCTGCTCCCATAATATTCATTGAGTTGAGCTGAATTGGTATTTCATCACGTGGTATTTTTTTGTACCTGATGTGCTTCAGAGTGAGAGTCATGTGTAGATAGTCTTAAGCCTGTGCAGAAACTTTCCTTGGCCTTCCACACTCCTCTGGTCTCAGTTACTGGCACCTCCCCTGGAGCACAATGTAGGGTGAAGCAGGAGTTGGTCCATGGTCAAAATGGTATTGTTCTGGATTTTATCTTCCTGCCTCGAACAGTGAGATAAACATACTTTGAATCCCCATTTTTTCATATGCTCACTAGAAAGCAGACAGGGTTGTTCCAGAGTGGATTTCCTGTGTCATAGAAATCACAGATGCATAAAAGGAAAAACCAGATGTGCACAGAGAGCCTGCCTGGGCTTACACATTCTTTCATACCCAGAGTCATAGGGTTTTATGGTCCGTGTTTCCAAAGCCAGCTCATTTTTTCCTCTTTTGAATATGTGCTTTTGCTCATATTCAGCGTTCCAGAGCTAGGAGGAAGTAGGCACGGATCTGGGTGTTTATGCACTGGGGTGTATCTCTGGATATCTTCACACGTGTGAGAGCTTGTTTGCTTGAAAGTGTGGCTGTGCAGATTTAAGCAAGCTACTCCAGGGATGCCCTTAAGCTTTGAACAAAGTACTTGCAACCACTCCATCCTTTCTCATCCATGAAATGCAAAGCCCACCTTCTTCAGGAAAGCCTTACAGATTGAGTAGATCAGAGAGCCGATGCCATTTGCCCCAGGCATGTCTGCAAACTACTTTCTCTTAGAATTCCTGAATCTCATGTCTTTTAGAGTGAAAATGCTTAAAATTGGTGCTGGGCCTGTTTTTGTCCACTAGGATACATTGTGATTTTTCTCATTAAAAAGAAAAAATATGTTATAAATGCAAAATTACCAGTATTATCCTTTTCATTTGAAACTCATAGCCCATTTTGAGGTTGTGGTATGAAGCTGTGTTTAGAATTGTGTATCATAAAGGTTACACAAGTCCCTAGTTTAAGTGGATGAGAAGCAACACAACAAACAATTGAGTAGCTGGTATCTGGATGTCCTATTGTAGGAGAGCTAAATTCTGGAGGGACTAGTTGCAGCTAAAGCAGTAGATGGACACCTGTTTCAGGGGTAACTTTTCGGTAGTCTAACCAGACCCTTGATTCATGATCATTTCTTGAATGCCTACTCTGTGCTATACACAGTTCTAAAAGCTATGGATATAGCAATAAACAAAAATATAGTCTCTACTATCCTTGAACTTATAGTTGAGCGGATGGAGACAGGCTGTCAGGTGGTGATTAAGTGCTGCTAAGAGGAAAAATAAAGCAGGGTCAAGGATGTTTGGGTGGTGCTATTTTAGAAAAGTTAGCAAGGGAATGTCTCATAGGATGTATTTGAGCAGGGACCTGAATCAAGTTATGGATCTAGTCATGGGCTATATGGAGAAAGATCGTTTCAGCCCGGAGGAACAGCCTCGGAAAGATTGAGTTGGAAGTGGGTCTAAGGGATAGCCAGGGGGCCAATGTGGCTGGTGTTGGGTGAGCCAGGAAAGAGTAGTGGGTGGTGAGGCCGAAGGGTGACTGGGGGCAAGACTATGTAGGGTCTTGTAGTGAGGGAGGTGAGAAGTGATAGAAAAATTTGAGCCGAATAGTGATATGATATGATTTAGATTTGAAAAGGATCGCTCTGGCTGCCATGGTATTGGGAAGCCCCAGAAAAAGCAGGAAGAACAGTTAGGAGCTTATTGTGGAAGTCCAGGTCAGAGACATGGTGGTCTGGCAAGGGAAGTAGTGCTGGAAATGGAGGAACACAATTGGATTCTGGGTATATTTCATAGATAGAACCAACAGGATTTTCTCATGGATTGGGCATAAGGTGTAAGAAAAAGAATTAAGGATGACTCTGAGCTTTGTTTTTCTGTATGCTTGTTTTTTGAGCAACTAGAAAAATGAAATTGCAATTTATTGAGATGGGAGAAGCATATTTTGGAGGGAAATCAAAAGTCTGGTTTTGGACATGTACAACTGAGATCTGATTTTGAACATGATTTGGGACCTGGTACATTTGAGGTCTGATTAGACATCCAAATAGAGATGTCAAGTAGAAAATTGGTGACAAAAATCTGGAGTCCAGGAAGCCAGGTTGGGTATAAAATTAGGCTCTGGTGGAACCTGACGACTCAGTTCATTCCTTAGGTCTCATCCTGTTCTAAATACATGGTTAGAAAGTCTTCACCAGTCTACGCCCATGCCACCCTGAATAAACCTGATCTCGTCTGACCTTGTAAGCTAAGCAGGGTCGGGCCTGGTTAGTACTTAGATGGGAGTACTAGGAAGACCAGGTGCTGTAGGCATTAAAGAAAGAAAGAAAAGAGGGGAAGAAAGTCTTCGTCAGCCCTGGGATCCACTGAGCATCTGAGGCATGCTATGAACCAGAGATTGCCTGGACTTTGGTGGAATAGCTCTAGGCAGTCCCCTGAGTCCAACTAACAATTTACTATTAACCAATGTTTATCAAGTACCAACTGCATGTCAGGCATTGTGCCAAATGCTGAGTACTCAATGAAGAACAAGACATGCTCCTGTCTTCATAGAATGTTTAGTCTTGTAGGGGAGTAGGCTAAGAGAATGGCTATTTCAATACAATGCGACGGGGGTAAGTGTAAAGTGATATATTCAACATAAAGAAGAGGCACCTAATCCAGTCCTGGAAGTCAGAGAAAGTAACAACTAAGCTGACTCCTGAAGGATGAGTAGTGATGGCCAGGTAAAGAGGTAAGAGATTGGCATAAAGAGTGTTCTAGGCAGAGAAAAAAAGCATGCATCAAGCAAAGAAAAAGTCTGTGCAGGCAAAGAACAAAAATTCAGTTTAGCATGTCTAGAGTGTATAGTGAAGTGGGCAGACAGGGAAGGGTAAGTAGTGGATGGAGAGATAATTAGAACCTGCACCATGAAGGTTCTTAATGAGCAATGCTGGGATTTTGTTATAAAAGCTACAGGGAGCCTTTGAGGAGTTATAATAGGGGAAAGGGTTAGTGTAAAGAGTGGATTGGAGGGAGGCAAGGCTGGAAGCAGTTATGTCAGGGGATTGGAGATAGTGGCAATCCCATACTCACACTATACCTGTAAATATGTCCATATAATATGAGGCAGGGCCTGGGTCTGTTTGATTAACCTCAAGCTAATGAGAAATGCTCTCCAAGAAGCTAATTGGATGCAAAAGAGGTACACGGTGCCTACATTTTAATAGGGAGCTGGCGTGTGGGTGGAAGCAAGGTGAAATGCAGTTCTAGGATGGGACAGCTTCCAGGAGGGCAAGCTCTAATCATGGGGGGGCGGCGGGGAGGCGGGGGCAGTTGGAGAGCCAAGATCGGAACCCTACAAGTTATAGTCTTTCAAGTACATTTTGCTTTGTGTAATGTGTGTGCTGAGCAGTGTGTGTTTAGGACAGAGCTTGGATTCTGTGTGCTGGGCGTGTGTTTGGGAATGGATGTTTGTGGTGGGAAGTTCTCTCCGAGTCTGTGTTAATGTGCAAAACTCTGGAATGCATACTGTGCAAGTACATACCTGCAGTAAAAAAGGGATATGCATGCAATATATGCTGTGAGATAGCACATGCCTTTTAACGGCTTGTGTTCGCAAGACGCAGTCTCAAACTGAACAAGCTATGGGTTCTGTTCAAATCTAGAGACTACTTTGGTTCACTTTGCATACAGTGGGCACTCACATATTTGTCAAATGAATGATTATTTCAATTTTAATAAAATTCAAACGTTTTTGAAAATATGTAGTTTTGGTTACAAATTTGAACTAGACATTTTAAGAAAAATAAACTCACAGCCAGGCACCAACATCCATTTATAAAATCTAGCAGTTTAAATACTGTAATGGAGTTTATAGACTAGCTCGAGTCCTAGCTCATGTAAAAAATGCTCACTATTTCATTTTATTCAATAAACATTTGCTGAATACCTTGGCCACATAGGCAGCACTGGGCTGTTGCTGGCAGAACTCATTGACCTCTCCTCTGAGTCACTCTAGTCTAGGTGCTGCAATTAAAGCGTAATTATATGCTGTCTTATATTGTTTCTTAATTGTTGCATGTTCATTAATCCACACTGTATGTTCCTTGGGGGCAGAGCCTATATTATCAACTTTAGGATAGGGATGAACTTGGCAGAGAATATACAGAAGTGAGTAAACATCCACTTTTTGAGGATAAAAAGGAAACAAGAACATAAAGCTATTTATGAACTGTAGTAATACATTATATATGATACTTCAAGAAAAAGAGAGCATATATTGTTGTTAACTAAAATATTTAATGATAAAATATAAAATTTGAGTCTACATTTTCAGGTTAAGGGAAGGCTTTGGGTATGAACATAATTGCTGTAATCCCCACAATGCCTTCATTCTGTTGTTCTCTTTAATGCAAAACATGTCTATTTCCTTGAGGATGAGAGTTAAAAGGCAGAACCAGTCTTTGGTGAATTATTTGACAGCAGAATTAGCCTATAGCTGGATTTCTCAACAATGGCACTATTGACATTTTAGACCAAGGTAATTCTTTGTTGTTGCTGGCGGTTGGGGGGCTGTCCTGTGCATGGCAGGATGTTAAGCAGCATTGTCAGCCTATATTTATTAGATGCTAGTAGCACAGGCCCCTCCCCCTTGTGATAATCAAAAATGTCTCCAGACATTGCTCTCAGTTGAGAACCAATGTCCTATAGAAATTTTGGTTCTATTTAGATATTTTTCTATTTTAACAAATGGTGAGAGATGGGGGAAGGGAAATCATATTTATTGCTTATTTGTTCTGAGCTAGGAACTATACCTATATATTTTTAAATTTTATTTTACAGATAAAGAAGCTGAGGCTCAGAGAGATTAAAGAACCTGCTGAAGATCATAAAGCTTGTTCAGCAGTTAAATCAGGATTGCACACCAGGCTTGTCTGACCACAGAGCCTTTAGCCCTTTACAGTACACTCCCCACTGCTTCTCTGCAAGAAAAACAGCATACCTTACATTGAAGGTGAACTGCAAATTCAACAAGTATGCTCCCAAATATTTAAAAACTGTTTTGAGGAGGGGAATCCTTCTTCTAGTCGTTACATGTATTTGAATACGATTACATACGTCCACACATATAGACGCTGGGGGCCCTCATTACCGTCGTGCCTCTGGTCTTATCTATGAAAAACATAAGAGCAACACAATGGAACAGCTTCGATTCTCCTTGTTACAAATTATACAAAAGCCAGAGCCTAACGGTGCCAAAAGCAACTGGTATTGTTTACATAAAGGCTGAAAGCTAATAGTTAACTTTCTCCCATTCCAGAAAAAGTAAATAACGCCTCATTTTACAACTACAAAGGAGTAAAATGTCATAAAATAGAGAAGAAAACATTAAATCAAAAAGGAAATAGAAAATTCGGTTCCAATGCTCCCTCTTTCTCCGGCTTTCGCTCGCGCTCCGGGTGGGTCCGGGCTGAGCGGCCTGGGTCCCCATTGCCCCTGCCAGGCTCTCCTCGGTGGCGCCCAAGGCTTTCTGGTTTCCTTTCCCGCCCTGTGGCGAGCTCGGCCTCTCTCGGAGAAGCCTGTCCCAGAGCCAGGCCTGGGAAAACAACAGCAAGAAACTTTGGCCCGGTTGGCGTTTCAGTGAAAAAAGGCAAACGAGTCCTCAAGTTTGGTTCGGGGCTGGCAGGCGCCGGTTCCGATTTTG